AATGAGAGGCGCCGGGGGAGAACTTTTCCACTCATATAAACATTTGTGAAATGCCAACAAAACTTAACATGACGTAAACAATTTTGGAGCTCTGAATGATCTAAGGTTGAACTTGAAGCCAGGCACAAGAAGAGGTATGTCCTATCACCTATGATAAAACCCCTTCCAACTCTGTATTTCCCAGAGTTTGGGTCATTTCAGCGCACTGTGACAACTGGTGCTGGCCTCTACTAGAGCAGTTTATATTACTCAGGATTCAACCTCCACACACTTAAAAGCAAGGTAAATGGCACATAGCATGGCTTTTGTGGTGATCAATTTATTTTCAGAAACTCGATCAAATATTTGTTCGCCCCTTCCACTTCCATCGCTTTAAACTTGATTTTGCCCTTGCTGTGCTTTCACAAATGTTCCATCGTGAGCTACTTCAAAGTGCAAACACTCCTGTTGCCAACATTGAATGCAATCTGTTCGAGAAAATGAACATGCAATTAACCTCCCATTATTTAGGATCGTGGCAAATCAGGTCTTTGCCGTTCTATGAATGCTATATATTCATGACCAAATGTGGTGCAATTATTCAAACGTATTTAGCACGGGCCGCATTTCTTCTCTCCTTTCTTTAGTTTTCAATGCTAAAACTCAAGGGTGCCCGAGTCAGGTCCTCGGGAGCCCTATCCAGCCTGTTTTAGATCCCTCCTTCCTCTAACACACCTGATTCAGCTGATCAGGATCGTCATCAGGCTTCTGCAAAGCTTGCCGATGAGCTGATAATTTGAATCAGGTGTGTTAGAGGATGGAGAAATCCCAAACAGGCTGGATAGGGCCTCCCAAGGACCGGACTTGGGCACCCCTGCTCAAACTAATCAATATACTTTACACACATTCTATGGGTACCTTTACATTTAACAAAGTAAGGGAACCAAAACGGCTTTGGTAGAGCAGACAAATTTGGCTATAATCTCTCTTGAGAAGATTGTACCTCATGAGGTCTCCCGAGAATAGTGGACAATATTTTAGCACACTGGGCAAAACACAGCTGTCATCACAAGAGACAAGCGACCAACTACAAAAGTGGCCTTCCGGAAAACACTGAACACCCAGCAGTTTCGTTTGTACTTGTAAAATGTATGTGTTCTATCGTAGAATCATACGAACTTTGCTCTCGTGTGAAAACAAAAAAGGTCACCTTGCTCCTGCCCCCTTGAGCCTTTCTCTGATACCACAGAATTACAAAACAGACATAGTACACTTGCGTCAAAGGGAACAGATAACTGTCTATTCAATACTCTTATACATGTTTGCATTGAATGAAAATGGGGGGGCACTTCTTTGCAGCCGCCAGCCTGGTTTTATTTCAAATCCTGACGAAAATAAAACATTTGCTTCATTCACAAACACTCGTAAGCCATTGCCGCTGAGTGAGATACCACCTTAAGGGTTCATATTTTTCCCCATGACAAGCTGCCACCATGGTACATTCAGCCAATAAAATTCCAAAAATTCTCATGTTATACATTTCTGCTTCAAAATGGACATTGTTCTTTCAAAGGCTATCATTAGATTGCAGATAAACAAAGCTCAACATCAACTGAACCACCACTCTTCAATATAATAATGTCCTGTTCAGTATGTTTCTGTATATATTTTACACACTCCATTGGTGTAGAGATAAGATCGGTCCGAAAAAATCGAGCCCGACCCGAACCGGCCCAAGGGTATTTAAGCCCAACCCGAGCCCGATCACTTAGCTTGATTTGCAGGCCCGAGCCCGAAGCAAACCCGACATTTCATATTTTATTTGTGAGGACTCGGGAGGAGGAGGGGTGATTTCTGATAACAAAGCCTGCCTTTTGTAACGAAATCTAAGTTAAACAAGACTGTATAAACATTTACATCTTTTATATTTCTGTTTCTGAAGAGGTTACATTAACCGACAATTTTCTATCATTTGACGGATTTTTTTTAAGAGTGGACGGGGAAAATTTAAGGCCGTCCGTCATTTTGACGGGTTGAAAAATGGGCCGTAAATCACCGCAGCAGCACGTCCTTAAGAAATAAGAGAGAGAGGCAAAGAGACAAAAAAGAATAATGATGGGTGGATCATAGACAGAGACAGGAAGGAGTTCTTTGAATTGTCATTGCAAGAGTTTAGTACACTACGTGATGTGATGAGGCGACTTCTGTTGTTGTGCGAACCACGGTCTCTCGTGGCCAAAACTATTGACCGCCTCGGGAAAAAAAAAAAAAAAAGTCAACGAGAGAGAAGCCCAACCCGACCCGAATCCGAGGCAATGATTGACATTTTAAGGCCCGACCAATTCGGGTCGGGTCGGGTCAGGCTCGGGCTCGGGCGGCCTGATCTTACCTCTACATTGGAGGGAGAGTGAAGTAAGGATTTCTAGCAAATGAGAAAGAACCAATTTCGGATGACACGTGTAGTAAATACGATGCTACTGACTTTCCTTGTTCCTTTGTCCTGAAGGGAAAACAGCAGCAACCTGGATCTGATTGTGATCTGGTTGAAAATATCTGGCTCTTAACACAGCAAAAAGGCGCAGACTGAAGCCAGATGGCTCATGCAAGGGCAATAATCTTAACATTAAATCACAAGACAAGCAGTGCATTGAAGCCAATTTGAAAATGGAAAGTAAACCTGAGGAGCAATGCTTATTTTTCGAGAGACAGGAAAGAATGGAAAGATTCTTTGGAATTGAACAATGTATTTCTTGTGAACCACAACTTACAGTAGTGTGAAAAAGAGTTTGCCCCCTTCCTCATTTCTTTTTTTTTTTTTTTTTTTTTGCATGTTTGTCACACTTAAATTTTTCAGGTCATCAAAGAAATGTGAATAGTATTAGTCAAAGATAACAAGTAAACACAAAATGCAGTTTTGAATTAAAGTTGTTATTATTAAAAGGAAAACAAAATCCAAACCTACATAGCCCTGTGTGAAAAAGTGTTTGCCCCCTAACCATAACAACTGGATGGGCCACCCTTAGCAGCAACAACTGCAATCAAGCATTTGCAATAACTTGTAATGAGTCTTACACAGCGCTGTCGGGGAATTTTGGTCCAATCATCTTTTCGGAATTGTTCAGCCACATTGGAGGGTTTTCGAGCATGAACCGCCTTTTTAAGGTCATGCCACAGCATCTCAATAGGATTCAGATCAGGACTCTGCGTAGGCCACTCCAAAGTCTTCATTTTGTTTTTCTTCAGCCATTTTGAGGTGGACTTGCTGGTGTGTTTTGGATCATTGTCCTGCTGCAGAACCAAAGTTCGCTTCAGCTTGAGGTCACGAACAGATGGCCTGACATTCTCCTTCAGGATTTTTTGATAGACAGTAGAATTCATGGTTCCATTTATCAAGTCTTCCAGGTCTTGAAGTAGCAAAACAGTCCCAGACCATCACACTACCACCATCATATTTTACCTTTGGTATGATATTGTTTTTCTAAAATGCGGTGTTACTTTCACGCCAGATGTAACAGGACACACACCTTCCAAAAAGTTCAACTTTTGTCACTTCAGTCCAGTATTTTCCCAAAGGTCTTGGGGCTCATCAAGATGTTTTTTTTGGCAGAAGTGAGATGAGCCTTAACGTTCTTTTTGCTCAGAAGTGGTTTTTCATCTTGGAACTCTGCCATGCAGGCCATTTTTGCCCAGTCTCTTTCTATGGTGGAGTCATGAACACTGATCTTTAACTGAGGCAAGTGAGGTCTGCAGTTCTTTGGATGTTGTTGTGGGGTCTTTTGTAACCTCTTGGATGAGTCGTCGCTGCACTCTGGAGGTAATTTTGGTCGGCCAGCCACTCCTGGGAAGGTTCACCACTGTTCCATGTTTTCGTCATTTGTGGATAATGGCTCTCTGTGTGGTTCGCTGGAGTCCCGAAGCTTTAGAAATGGCTTTATAACCTTTACCAGATTTATAGATCTCAATTACTTTCGTTCTCGTTTGTTCCTAAATTTCTTGTGATTTCAGCATGATGTCTTGCTTTTGAGGATCTTTTGGTCTACTTCACTTCGTCAGGCAGGTCCTATTTAAGTGATTTCTTGATTGAGAACAGGTGTGGCAGTAATAAAGCCTGGGTGTGGCAAGAGAAATTGAACTCAGGTACGATAAAACACAGTTATGTTTTAACAAGTGAGGGCGGGGGCAAACACCTTTTCACACAGGTTTGAATGTTTTTTTTCTCCTTTAATAATAAAGACCTTCCTTTAAAAACTACATTTTGCGTTTACTTGCATTATCTTTGATTAATATTAAAATTTGTTTAATAATCTGAAACATTTAAGTGTGACAAACATACAAAAAATAAGAAATCAGGGAGGGGGCAAACACTTTTTCAGACCACTGTAGATGATATAAAAATGAAAATCTGCTTGACACATGTTTAATAAATTTCATAAGATGCTAAAACCCACAGCAAAATATTCACAGTCCTGTGAAAGGACCCCAGGGTCACTGTCTATGGAAAAAAAATGTCTGTATTCTCATGTACAAAAGCTGAAACCTTCATTTTTCTCTATTTGTCTTACAGATATTCACAGATACGTTTATACATTCCAAGAGCCTGCAGCCAGACCTTGGCCTGTTTTCATCCTGTTAATCCTGGCTCCGTGTGTATTGGCCTACATTCTTCTGTTTCAGACAACTCACTGGATCAGTCAAAACCATGCATTGGAAAAAAACATGCCCTTTTTCTTTACGTTATTTTTTTCTGAGATATTTTAAATATCGTCCCTCCTGAATCCGACAGTGATTTGGTCTTTGATGTTTCCGGTCGTGTTTCACTTTTAAGTTAAATAATGAAAATATTGACTTAGGAACCTGACCGTGAATGCTTCACTGACACCCAAAGCGTCAATTTGCGCTCTGTATCATCATGTTTTGGGGGAATGTTGTTTAGAGAGAACTGGATGAGTCAATCATTTTCACCATGATGTTACCCTGTTTCACCTCTGTGAAAATAATTATAGTTTGAATTTGGGACTTACTGAGTACAACTATGAAGCTCTGATTGTCCAGGAGGAGCCACAATCCAAAGCCCATGATGACGGCCCCAAGAAGCTGAGAGGAAAAGAATCCATTAGTCAGGCATAATGAACGCTGAACACAGCAAAATGTAGTTGCTAGAGTAGATATTGTTCTGCTTCAAGGAAAAGAAAATACAATAATGTGAAAACAATGATGCAGAAACATGAATGTGTTCCAAGGTTAATTGTGGTCATTACAAATATTTTCTTATCCGAGCTGACTTGACGCGAGAGGCAGGTGAGCTGAGGTGGTCGTCAGTCAATCGCAGGACACACAAAACAAACAACAAACACGTTTGGACGCTGTGGTCTTCAATTAAACCAACAGACATGTTTTTTTGCAACTTGGAAAGAATCCAGAGTATCCAGAGAAAACCCACGCAAAGCATTGGTACAATGTGCAAATTGCACGATAGGGCCTGAAGGGACATTCAAAACCGAGCACTTCTCTACCCCTGTGCATGACGTGCTCACTACTATACGCGCATGCTGCAGAGAAGATTATCTTTTTTCCCATTTTATTTTTTAAATCCAAGTTACATAGCGTCTGGTGTTAGATGAACCCTGCGTAATCAGTTTATTCTGTGTGCAAGTATGGAGATGATGAGACTATCACAGAGGAAAACATCTTTTTTCTATTTACTTCATACTATTCTGTTTGCTGCTATGCTTTGCAAAAGAAGAAAGACATTGCACCAGAAAGACTGCTACTTTTCCATTGTATGAGTCGGGGGTAAATAAGAAACATTAGGGGAAAAAAAAAATCTGTATTTTGCATTTTTGGTTCAGAGGACTGGAAATGCCATTTTTAGCCAGGCTAGGGGAGAAATAGAACACATGTACTAGTGTTATTTATCAAGCCTACAAAACAATTCAATTCAAATTGTAATCAGTTACACTTGGAGAAAATAACAGAATCAGCTACATTTATTAAAAATGTGAGTTATTTTGCAGGAATACATTTTTAATGCAGGAAGAGAGAGGTGGCCCGTCGCTTTGAGTCCTCGCCTGCTTTCAAGCAACCTTTCCCGGAGGACATTTTACACAACAATTACAAAGAAAAATGTGGGCTGTCAAAATAATTCAGACTGCTGGTTATTGACTCAGGAGAAAACCAGCAGGCTAATCTTACGTAACACAACAAATCAAGTTTTCTTGTGATGTCACATTAGAGTCATTGAATCAAAATTGTGTTGTGTGATTGCGTGCATGACGGGGGACGAATATATTCCTGCAAAGATCGCCTTTCAGAAGATAAGTTTGTCCTTTTTGTTTCCATTTCACTCATAACTTTCTGTGTCAGATTTGAATCATCAATAACTAAAACGTGATGTGATAAGCAAAAACCCACAGCAGATAAGACATTTGCAAACATCTGCTTTTACTTTGGAAAACAACGACTGACCCAGGAACTGAATTGATTTCAAAACGTTTTGGCGAGTACAACATCAATCCCTCACGTGCTTAATTATTGTTGTTGTTTTTAAGTTATTTAACAAGTACAAATAAACGACACTAGTTGGTTCATTAGCCGTAATCGGGGAAAATATGGTTTCGTAATACCTTTTAATTCCAAATGAAATTAAATCCGATTATTCGATGAATTGATGAAATTATCAACAGAACAATTGATTCTAAAAACATATGCTAGTGACAGCCATACTTGTAACAAACTGGTCATGTGGAAAGGGTTGTCAAAGAGCTTGTTCTACACGAAGCCTTGTATTCCGATTGGAATGAAACCAAATGACCAAATGGAATGAAAATGCTCCATATAAACACCTCAATGGGAATAAAAAAGCCAAATTTCAACGAAATTTCATTCAGAATCACTGGTATTCCTTTTACAAATCCGTCAAATGTCATGTACTGTATATGGTTCAATTGGGACAGCCAGGCAGCGTCAAAGTACCAAGTGCTATCCTGATGCTCACATTGTTATTATTGAATCAAGTAAAAGGCATAATAGGCACAGCATTACAATTAGGAATTAAAAAAAAAAAAACAGTTCATGCGAATTAGGTAGAACATTTCCAAGACGTTTTATCCCATTTTTGGCACACCGGCATCTTGACTTCTTTAACCTAAAGTAGCAGTAAAGTGATTTTAGGAATCAGAAGTTTAGGGGTGCAGCGATAAAGAAGTTACTTTATGCATGAGCTGAGCATATTCATGTCTGATTCTCATTAAGTAACTTGATAGTAACACACTTAAAGTGCTCTGTCCCGCTTGGATATTAATTATTTTATTTATTTATTTGTACTTTGACCACCTGCCCCTCAAAAGGTCACTGCACGCCCCTGCTAATGGAGACAATATTAGGAACATTTACACTTTTTTTTAATTTTGTATTGCTAGATTCATTGCCAATGGTAGGGGTGGCAAATGGGGTGTCAAGACATTTGGTAAAGGTGATAGTTGCCACCCCTTGTCACCCTGTAAAACCGCCTACGATTAAGACGCACCGTTCTTGACACATTTTTGGCGGCTGTTCTCTACATCAATACATATTGTTAGGTTTGAATAAATATACTTACAAAGAAAATGAGGTTGAAGAGGAACAGGAAGTACTTGATCGCCGTCACGCAGCCTTTCCCCATGATGCTCTATCTGTAAAGGTGAGAGGGCATGAGTGTAATTCGACAGGAAATGTGGCGGACATTGTTAGTGCAGAGCAATGGGGGTAAAGATCCCCCGCTGATAAGTACTAGCGCACACACACACGCACACCAGCACATTCTCTGTATCACGTTATCTGCACAAGTAGCGTGAGCTCTTACACGTTCAAGCGAGATTAAAGCAACTTCGCATATAAAGATGGAAAAAAGATGGACACATGAATAGGACTGGTTTTAATGTCAAATAGTGGTAAAATTAATTCCGAGAGGATTTGCTTTGGGGATAAGCCTCACTTGCTTTAGGCCCGCTTTGTGTTTCAACACGTAAAACATGCCCGTGCTCGTTTGCTGGTTGTTGGATAGAAGTATCCAAACAACCAGCAAAGGCCACTACAGGACATTGATTCTAGTTGAAGTAACCTCAGAGAGTGCTGTTGATTTCATTTCATCAGATTGATTCAAAGTCAGAGTAGCTGGCAACCAAATCTTGTTTGCAATACTAGACAGGCATTTTTAATTAAAGCTAAATATTGTGTGCTTGGGACACTTGCAGTAGAAATCAAGGACACCGGGCCAGTCTTTGATTTGAGAAAATTTTGACACAAAGTTATCTAAATGGAGGACATTCGCTTCTTAACATCCCGTACTGCTATTGTATTTATAAAATGTAAAAACTTTTTGCAACAATGAGCTACATTACAGTGGAGGGCAACAAAAATGTAATTCCTCCGCCAACTGTCCTTTTAATCCCCCTTCTAATGGGGGCTCCAACAAGCCTGTCTGATCAGAACTGGGTGGCTCAAATCTGTAGGATTAAATTTGCAAAACCAGTTTAAACTCAATCTGTGAGCACGGAAGGAGGCGTGTCCACATTGCATCCACCCAATTTGCTGTGCACGCATGGTAGGTGTGTGTGATTAAAATGACTATCCTTGTAAAAGAAATAGCAAGCAAATGTGGTAACAATATATTTAGACTGATTTAGTGTATAAAAGAAAGTCTGTAAATTTCAATCTCAAAAGATTCTCCAAGCAGAAGTTTTAAACCCACACAAGTGAGATGAGCAGGAACATCATCTATCAGATAGATTTTTACACACTTTAAGTTAAGCCCACAGAGGGGGCAAATGTTTGTGAGGGGAGTGAATGTTCTATTCTCATCAGGGTTCTCCAGACAGTCGCCTCTACTTTTCTTGCAACAAGAAAATCCATGACGAGAGTTCTACGTCTGGAGAGTGTTTGCCGAACAATTGTGACCTTGATGGGACACTGACGTGAACGTGCATTTTGTACAGTCGCCAACACTCGCAAATGTTTGCCCCTCAACGGGACAGGTCAAGGGCAATATGTAATAAAAGAATGGAATTTGGTTGGATGCTTGATAAGGATCGATTACTGCTGTCATGTGTGAATTCTTTTGAAGTATTGTGACATGTCAAATCATCTATGACCTACCAGGGCAAATCAAAATATATACGACCACCTGAACCATTGTCATGACATCGCATACTAAACAAAGGCTGCTGCTGTTGCCAAATTAAAAAGGTCTTTTTAAAAATGTATGAGAGTAGCTAGATGTGGCAAGATGCAATTAAAATGTGATTAAAAGGAGAACAGACCAACATTGAATTAGGGCAGGGTGACATGGCCCAAAGTTGTACACTATTAATACTACACCGGTGAGAAGATAAAGAAATTAGTTTAAAATTAGGAATGAGGACAAGGACAAAGTTCCCTTTCTATTTGAACGAGATACAGCCACACAGGCAATTTACAAAGGTAAACTCAAATTTGAATATAATGAAAATAGTAAATGAATGGGTTGTAGTCTTTCCAACAACGACAGTGATTGAGCACAATTACAGGTGTACCTTTCTTTGGAGATAATGTCCAAATAACAAAAAAGAAGTGAACATTTTAATTTGCTAATCGAAAAAGTTTAATAAAATTGCTCATTGATGTCGAGTGCATTATTCCTAAGCATTTTTTTTCTTTGAGGAGCAATTTGGTTTAATGACGTTGTAATTTTGAGCCTTGCAGCAATATGTAAGTCTTTTCAACAACAACAACAACAGACTGAGTGCCAGCTCAGGTTTTACTCCTGCAGAAAACAAAACAAAGACGGAGCAGAGAGTGTGAAAAGCAGACAATCACACACGCACTCCAACATCTTTCCTGGAGAACCTCCGTTAGTATTCTCAAGCACGCTAATTTCTCCTCACATAAATGGCAATGTCATCATAACTCGCATGGGAAAATATAATGGTATGAAATATAACTTGATGTACCATCAGGAAAGTATTGATTAGCTCTCTGGCAGCAAAAAGTGGAACACCCCCAGACCGTTTTCCAAAACATTGTCACCATCATGTGACCCTCTTACACCTTCTGTGCACTAATGGCCTTTTACTGGTCAATAAATCGATGAAAATCCGGGTGAAATATGGCGGCCCATATTCTGTTATCCTGTGGCGGTGAATGTGCGGGTCACACACATGACCCATATTCTCATCAGGGGAAATGGGTTACAGTTACGTTGTGCCACTGTGCTACTGAATTGACTGGTGGTTGTTCAAAGTCAAATTCCATCGGATGGGAATACTATCGGGTGAGGTCCCTTTCGAACAGGTGAGGACGAGTCCACTCAATGTGCCTGCCCAACACCACCCAACACCTCTGATGACTCATGTGGGTGAGACACTGCTGATGCACTAACTTGTCTCCAAAGACATGCCTTTGGGAGTTCATCGCCGATGGGGCTACTCTCAATTTATTATGCGCAGCCACTATGTTAACTTCCTGGACTGTCCCCTCATTTGCATTGAAATGGGTTACAAAGTTTTGGCACTGCATAGACACTCCCACGCCACACCAGTATCAAGTGCATGAATAGGCTGCTAAAGAGAGGGAGTTAAAAAAAGGGGGGGGGGGGAATTAAACCTAAAAGGAAAGTGCTATGACTTTGTCAAAACTGAAAGTGGGGATCCAATTTTTGCCCACAGTGAGAGATGAAGGGAAAAAAACCAGAAAATTTGAGCACCATCCAAATGAAATTGTGACCTTTCCATGGATCCAATTTGTCCCTCGGTGGGATACAATAAAGACGTGTTGACAGATGGCTCATCGGGATGCCTTGGCCTGAGATGGAGAACTGTTATCAACAAGCTGATCAACGAACTGCATTTGTGGGCCATTTTGCGCCGATCGAGCAGAGGGTATTCATTATGCATTGAATCCATCTGTTTCTTTGCAGTTTTCCACTTACATGTAACAGCAAATTCTCTGTGGCTTCTTTGGACAAAAATTCTAAGGGGGGGAAAAATGTGGCTGGCTTTGCAGCAGTTGGATAGTCCTCGATACACATACGATACGATACACAATTCTTGTCTAAGCATTTATTAAGCAGGCCTATATCACACGTTCTCGATGTTATGGATGTTTTTCTGACTCGCGAGAGGACACTGGATTCTTCTTGGTAAGTATGCTGGACTTTGGGTCATCCTTAACGAAGCAGGACTCCCCCAGGATGCCGGTACACTGGAGCCAGTTGAAGGTGATTCATTCACATCGATGAAAAAGGTTGACTTTTTTTTAAAACAACGAAAAAATGGTTAGGTAGATGGATACTTTATTCCTCTCATGAGGGATATTAGTCTCAGCAGGAGTATTCACAAGTACACATAAAATAGGAGAAAAGAAAAACAAAGGTTGGGCTTGTGTGTTGCAAGTTTTTGTGGCTTGTTCATTTCCTGTCTGTATCAAGTATTATTTTGCTCCTCTGATTTCAAAGGACAGATTCGACATGGAACTACTTCCTGCTGACATGGGATAGATTTAAAAAGAAAGAGCCAAAAATATTTACCACACATAAGCGAACAATTAAGTAATTATGCTTGGTTTCTGATAAACGCTCAAAGGAGGGGAAAACAAAAAAAAAATAAAATCACACCCGATATAAATGCTAAGGTGGCCTCTCTTGAATCATGCTGATTTTCCCTTCATTTTTCCATCCATGTTCCCATGTCGTCAATATGCTTGCAACCGGATGTAAATAAAGTACAAAGTGCGCAAAACCTGGACGTGTCTTCCAAGTTCCTACAGTTCTTTTTCACTGTGCATTCGGGTTCCTCACATCCGCTCACGTCTTGTGCACTGATTGTCTCGCTAACAGCCCATAGGGAGTGACCACTTGTCCCTCCAGACTGACCACTAAACACGGCAACATGCGTCTCGACAACAGCTCTGACTTGACAACGGTGCGTTCTACACCAAGCACACGGCGCATTCCGACTGCTGACATTGGATTGGTGTATTGAGGCCTCTACATGCTTTATTCCTTTATGACGCAATTACTAACAAGCCAGTTGGACAAGTTGGACCAAAATCTGTTTGGGTTTTAAATTGCTGTCGTTTCGTTATGTTTTACACACCATGGAAACAGTTACTCACATTTGAACTGACAACCAAACAAGCAGCAGCCAAATATGTAATTTCAAAATAACAAGCCACGACTGGAGTACCGGTCACGTGGACTGGCACGTGCTAAGGTAGAACACGTGGTTAGGGGCAGAAAGCTGAGAAAATTCCCAGAACATCAACCCACAGAGAAGCGCGAGGTTCTTCCTTGGATGGGTTTTGAAACAATCTGGCCATAAGTCAGTCATCAGCAGAGCCTTTAATAGGTGGTTGTGATCGAGTGCGCCCAACTTGTTTTCATTGTTGCACCTGTAATTTACTCAAAAGTGTTGGTGCTTGAAGTGCTGTGTGTCAGAGTGTTGCTGATGACTTTTTAACATAATTGGACCTTAACCTAACATTGAAGAAGTTGTCAATTGTTCTTATCATCCGGAGCTAGATCACTCACAAAAACACATCTTTTAAAAAGATGTATTTGTCAGGGCGGTCCGGTGGTTTGCGCGTCGACCTCACAGTGCAGAGAGAGGTCTTGGGTTCAATCCCCGCTCCGGCTTCCCTGTGTGGAGTTTGCATGTTC